TATTTGATTTGCCAAATGCTTTATAGCACATACGACGTACTGGGTATTTTTCTCAGCATGTTGCGCGCAATAAACCACTTAATCTTCACGATTCTACTCAGGAGGAACTATGGTTATCTCTGTTTTACTGTTGGGGAAACTGAGGCACGGGGCGGGGGTTAGAGTAATTTACCTAGGTTACACAGCCCAGGAGTGGCCTCCTGGCTCCAGAGCTTGTGCACTTACCTCCTGTAACCTGCTGCCTGGTGATCTGGTGGGGTAGTGTGTGCAGTGTGTGTGTGTGAGTGTGTGTGTGTGCACGGTGACCCCAGCCTTTCCCGGGCCCTGGTCTGGGTGGAGTGACTCTCCCCACCCCCACACCATCTACCTCACCCCTGCTTCACCTAGGCTGTCGTGAAAAGGTGGTTGTCTCCCTCTGGTGACACGCCCTTTGCTGTGTAACTCTGTTCCCTAGAGTTGATTGTTTTTGGCACACAACTCTGTAAACTCATCCAACAATTAAAAAGGGGGAGGGGTGGAACCAAAAAGAGACCGAGAGTGGCGGGTGGGGGGCTGGATGACACATAGGAAGGGCCTCGGGGTTATAGGTCCCTCCCCGTGCCCATCAGCAGAAAGGCCACCGAACCAGCGGCTGGCTGGGAGCTGTTCTGAAGGCCTTCTGGTTCCTTCCTTTTGGACTGTGTTTTTGGCCCAGTTACCTCCTTCAGAAATCTGAAGGGCCCCTTCTCAGGGCCCGATGGGAGTGTCTCCAGGGCCACCTGAAGGCACGGGATGCCAGCCTGGACCCATTTGAATATTTACTGCCCTTGTTTTGGTTAATTGTGTGTGTGTTTGCTCTGTTTGTGTACCACCAAATACCTGCTGTGTTGGGCGTACCCTCCTCGGCTGCGTGAGATCACAGGTGAAAAATGCAGTGAAAACACTTTCGTGCCACAACACATCATGTAGGATTTTTGTATTAAGATGTGGATTTTTTTATTGTTTTTTTTTTTCCCTTTTCCATACAGCCCTGAAGTTGGGCAACATGCATGTCTGTGTTTTTGTTTTGTTCACTCCGGGTGGTTTGTGAAATCTGCTCTTTAGCGCCCTGTTCTCTCCCCACCCCGGCTGATCCTCCACGTCTCTCCTCACCAATACGGATCTTTCCCCACCATCTCTTCTCTCCGTCCTGGCAGTGTAGATATCTGCTCAGATGAAAAGCAAGGGTCGCTGTGGCTGTGCTCCCCAGTCCAGTCTCGGAGCATCAGATGTTCATTATGGTGGGGGGTCCTGATGCAGGGGAGGCAGCAGAGATTCCTCAAGTTGCCCCGTCCCCGTGGGGGACCTCTTGACAAAAAGCAGTCTTCTCTCTCCTGGGAGCCTTCTGCGCTCCCATCCCATCAAGTGTCAGGTAGTGAGACCCAGTTGCTAAGGTAGTTCAGGAATTCCTCTGCCCGGCCCCCCCAAGTTCCCTGACTTCAGCACCTGATCACAGTTACTACCTTTGGTTGTGACCTCCCAGTGCACTTGGGTGACCCTGTGGAATTTGCTGGAGACCCTGGTAGTGGCTGGGAGAAGTTACATAAAGGGGAGAAAATAGCATCTGGGGAGGTGGGTGCCCAGCTCGCTTGGAGAGGAAGGAGGAACTCACAGTGAGTAGGCCTTGGAGCCTTCCTACAGGTCTGGCAACCTGTGACTTTTGGCAAATCCCTTCCCACCTCTGCGCCTGCTGCCCTGATCTCTCCACGGGGACCATAACCGTTCCTGTCCTCGTGTTTAAAGATTCAGCAGCATTGCGCGTGTGGAGCATTGGCACAGCGCCTGGCAAACAGAAAGCATCTAGTTAGTTGGTATCATTAGCTCTCCATCAGCCCATCGGCAGAGAGGGAAAATCACTGGTCTGTGGTGCGCTGTGCTCCTGGCCTACGCCCTGGCACAGAGCAGGGCTGGGTGAGTCCTCATGCAGTCACTGGAGGAGGATCCTTGCTCCCCTTCCACCTGAGAGTTGTGAATTCACAGTGGAGGAGGGAAGGAGAGATCAACAGGCAGGTTGGGGCTTAGGGGAGTAAGCCAGACCAGCATGTAAAAATAGCCCACGAAAAGAGGGAGCAGCCTGGCCCGTCTGATTTCTTTTGTTGTTGTTGTTGGTCTTCTTGAGATAAGGTCTCGCTATGCAGTTCAGGGACCTTGCACTCACTTTGTGGCCTAGGCTGGCCTTGAATTCCCAGCGATCCTCCTGTCTCAGCCTCCCAAGTGTTGGGATTACAGGCGTGCACCACCACGCCTGGCTCGGCTCATCTGATTCTGAGGTCAGAATCAGATTCTGACTGATTCATGAAGTCAGGGACTAGTTGGGTTCCACCAACACTGACACTGCCCGCTGTGGGCCAGCTGTTGTGCTAAGTGCTGGGCACTGAAGATAATTAAGACCTGGCCGCTGTCCTTGAGGAGCTAAAAGTTCAGTGGTGGAGACAGACTCGTGAACAAATTACATTGGCCCAGTGTGGATTTAAATGCCACAGTGAAGGATGTACCAGGAGCAGCAGAGAGGGATGTCCAGGCCCACTTGGGGTGGACTGTAGACAGCTACCTTGCCCTTCCACAGGCCTGCTAGGTGGGTGGGGAAGAGGCATCCTCTCCTCTGCCCGCTCTTCCATTGCTTGTTGAGGAAATGGAGGTCTGGGAGATCAGCTGGCCTGGCTGAGGGCCCATGAGAGTGAAGTGCAGAGCCGGGACTCAGACCATGGCTTCTGCTCCTCGACTCAGGCTTATTTCTGTAACCGCTCTTGGCTTCCCACCTCTTCAGCCTGGGGCTGCTGCTCAGAGATCCACTCTCTGGGCTCCGGACCCACGGAGCTTTGCACGGCTGCCTTGGCCCCGGGTCCTGGGCCGTAGGAGGGTCCTGGTGCAGGGAAGGCCCTGTGGCCTGTGCTCTGGTTTGGTAAATGGGTCAGGCCACTTGGTCGAGGACAGTCCTGGACGGAGGCCACACCCTGGCAGGCTGGGGGATGGTGAGAATGGGGAAGGCTGAGCTGCGGGGGCCGGGCCACACCCTTGGTTTAGCTGGTGTTGCTGCCAGTGCTGAGAAGCCAGCTCCCATGCTGTGGGCAGGCCCCTCTGTTGGCAGGAAGAGGCCAGACAGGAGCCCCCAGGACCTGGAGTCCCTTGGACACCAGGGCATGAGACACTGGGTCATTCCCGGTAGACTTGTGGTCAGAGCCCGGCCCCTAGCGCCTTTAGGAGTTGGGATGCATTTCTCTTGACCTTTTTCTGGGGCAGTGTCAGCCCCTGCTGTGTAAGACACTGGCTTTTAGAGGGAGGTCTTTCTGCTGAGATACTGGGGTGAAAGCCCCCCACAGGAGGGCGCATTGGGAGGTGGGATTTTTTCGGATGTCCAGGGCACCTTTCTGTGACCCAGAGCCCTTTGTCGGTGTGGGGCTGCCTGGACTTCAGGGGCTTCTGTTCCAATAGGCAGGGGAGTTTCAGAACCCAGAGGAGTGAGTCTCTCAGTGGCCCTGAAGTTCCCATTAAAGTGTTTTTTCCTCTTTTTTAAAGAAAAAATACTCCCAAACTGGAAAACAAAGGAAATCCACTTCCCCCAAATCACACGAAACTCACATTAGGGGCCTGGCGAGAATCCATGGAAACCAGGAAACCTGCTGTTAACCCTGTGTGGTGCTGAAGGGTCGGCTGGGGGCCAGGCGAATCCACCCCAGCCCGATGTCACCATCCATCGCTAGGCCCACCCCGAGGAGCTGGCCTCAGTGGCATTGCCCCAGCAGAGGGGAGGAGCTGGTGCCGAAGCCTTGCCTTCCCAGAGCCAGGGCTTCCATGCAGGCCTGGCTCGGGAGGCAGGACAGGAGGGCCTCACACACCCCAGGGACGGCCCCCGGGGACTGGAGGGGCTGAGGTGAGCCAAGCTGGAGAACCTGCCAGGCACCCGCCCACTCCATGGCACCTTGTGCCGTCAGGACCAAGCCTGCTCAGTGCCAGCAAGGGATGCTACAGTCCCCTGGCAAAGAGGAAAGGAAGGGACCAGAATTGCAGTGCCGGCTCCGCACGCAGCAGGGTGGGTGTGAGAAGAGCCAGAGAGCCCCCCTCCCCGCTCCCTGCTGTCACATCCACAAGGTTGTGTGTGACATCGGTGATGTGTTGGTGTCTGCACGGACGTGGGCTCGCTTATTCTAAAAAGGCTGAAAATATTTACAGGTTTGAGGTTGAAACGCAAACAGGAAAAGCCCTTTAAAAAGTTAGTGTAGTGGATATTCAAAACAGGAATCACCATGGAAACACCACAATATTTGCTTGAATTGACACAAAGGTTGCCGGTAGCAGGGCACCAACTTTCTTTGGCCACTTTTTTATTTTTGGCCCGGCACCTATCGCAAATGAATCTCAGCCACCTCCTTCCAGGGTCTGTATCCACACCCACTTTTCTTCTATAAGATGAAATCGTACAATTGCAGAGTTTTGGGGCAGGGGGCGAAAAAGAGAGAAGAAACCAAACGCACCGTCCTAGGTAGATGCGGAGACACCTGTGGGCTGTGATCTTAGAGATTCCCATGGGGCTGCAAGGGGGTCACAGGTGCAGCTGGGAGCTGCCCAGGGATGATCTGGAGGGGGCGGGGATGAGGGAGCCCAGAGGCTTGCTTCTGTGACATAGGTCTGGTGTGTTCCAGGGCTGGCTTGATCCGTTGTGGGGCTGACCTTTCACCCGGGTCCCAAGCCTTGGCTGGGATCCCTTTGTTGTTACTGGGGGTGGCACCTGATTGACCTAGCCCTGTTTGGTTATTCTCTTAGGTACTACTGGCTAGTCATCGTGCACGGGGCCCCTTGGTTGCAGGGTCAGACACGACAGGCCTTGGGAGGCCATGTGCTGATTGTGGGCAGGAGCTCAGAACTCTGCCTCTCTGGCTTGTTACCGCACAAGGTGTCGGGAGCTCACCCCTTCGCCCTGCTGTGTGCAGCTGCTTTGTGGGCGCCAGTTTAGCCTAATCTGTTTCCCCTCCTTCTCTTGGTAGGCACACAGACCTCACTGACGGAAGGCAAAGACCACCACCTCCATCCCACCTGCCTTTCCAGCTGCCCCAGCCACCGATCCCTCCTTCCTAAGGGGGTCCTGCAACTCCCCAGTGCTACACATTGGAATGGACTTCGGACCCTGGCTTCTTGGGGTGCAAAGGTAGTTGCTCCCAGTTCTTAAGATGCCCCTGGGAAGAGTGGGCTGGCCAATTTGGGGGTGCTCCTTTGGGTAGGGAACGTATAGGCCCTACACTCAGGTTTCTCAGAGGGCTGTGATATGGACGGGGGTAGCTTATACCCCAAAGGTGGAAATGAAAATGTGTATGTATGTATCAGCCTGGGAAAAGAGTCCATCAGGAAGGAGGCATCTGCATTCTGGCCTTGGCCTTGCCATTGACTTGACACACGCTTGGTCCCCTCTGGATCTCAATTTTCTCATCCGTAAAATAAACAACATCCGGTGGAATGGCTGACCTAGGAGAGTCCTCCCAGCATGCCCAGGGGCAGCAGTGGGCAGCTGTCTCAGGTGAGGCTCCTGGATGTAGGCAGCTTCCCTCCTGCCAGGGACCCGTCGGCCCCTGCTCTGACCCTGTATGTGGGTGTAGCTGGCCTGGGGATGTGGGGCTCTCTCCAGGCTCCAGCCTAGCTGGGCAGGACCTCCCTTAGACTGAAGCTGCATGCACCTTCGATTCAGACTTGGGAATAGACTCTTGCCTAAGGCTGGTGTATGGGGCCCTCCTGTCAGATGTTTACCCACAGGGATATTAAACTTGGCAGTCCTTGGGGTGTGGGGGGTTGGCACTCAGTAGGTGACTCACTCTATATTGGTCATCGCTCAATATTCTCTTGAGATCCTGAGGGAACCAGCCCAGAGGTGTTGTGTGTTCCTAAAACCCAAGGACAGGGTCTGAGGCCGAGCGGTCATCAGGGAAGGCAAGGCTGGGGCCGCTTCTCCTGCATGTGCTCAGCCCCCACAGACACCGCGGGCAGGTGGGTCCTGCCACTCCCTCTGTGGCCTGACTCTGCAACTCTGGACTTTGGACTTGCGGGGAGGAAGTAGTGGCAGAGATGGGCGCCTCGGTGCCCGCCGGTGAGGGAGGTCCCTGGTGCTGTGATCCTGCTTCGTTCCAGGCCGGGCCTCCTCAGGGACTCTCAGAAGCCTAGAATACAGAGCCGGGATTTGCAAATCACATGCAAATATGGCCTCTGGTTGCTGGGGTGGAACAACCAGGCAGCTAGGACTCTTCTTCCTGGAGTCCAGGAATTGGTTCATCTGTACCTAGAGGACGCTGCCATTGTCCCCTAAAAGCTGCAGGGCTGTTTTGACTATTGCCTGCAAAAGGCTTTGTGGGGACTCTGGTTGTGCCGCAATCTTGCCTGGATTTGGTGCTAGCACCTGCCTCACTTCACGGCCTCTGGGACTCGTCTTGCCTGACCTTGCCGCCCTGACGGCCCCAAATGCTGGGAACACAGGTGCCTCAGGCTGGTCCCTATCCCACCCTGTGCTCTTCCCCTGAGCAGGCTGCCGGGGTGCCTGCAGAGCCCCCGTGGAGGGGATCACGATGGCCTGATGGCCTGTTCTGTTCTCCACGGCAGGCTTTTTGTTTTCTTCTTTCTCTGGGCAAAACATGCCCATTAGTTTTTCCCTTTCTGAAGTTTCCACTTGACCCCCAGGGGCTGTGCCAGCTGGGATTTGCACCCGGCGCAGGATATGTGCCCAGCGGGTCCGGTGGGACTCCCGCATCCTGGCATCGGCTGTCTCCGGCTCGATAATGAAGCTTGGGAGGAACTCAGGGCTCCAATGGGAATGTCACGGCGGGCCCTCTTTGTGTCCCCAGCCCCTTCCAGTGGAGGGATTGGGGTCCTCTGTGGCAGGGATGACCCACCGTCTCAGAGGCTTCCTGCCTCACCCGAGGTGGATGAGTGGACAAGTCTACGCTTGGTCTGGACCGCAGGCCTGGTCCTGTCTAGCCGAGATTCTCCTCATTTTTAGCTGTTCTACTCAAGATTCGCTTGCAATTATTTCGCATTTACAAAGGGCCTGGTGTCTGCCACATGCTCTCTGGTGGATAAAACAAAAAGCCCCTGCCCTAGTGGCAGTCTAATCAGGGAGGCGACCCCGGGCCTCCCCAAAAGAATGGCATGAGGGGATGGGAAGCGACTGGTGGCACTTGGGGGTCAGCTTGGAGGAGAACTCATCAAGAGGTACCCATAACTGAGACTGAAGGACAGGAAATGAACAGCCACCGGAGGAACAGGGGAGAGAATATTCCAGAAAGAGAGAACGGGTAGTTTAAAGGGCCTACAGTAAGAGAAGCTCACTCCATTCAGTGGCCAGAAAGAAAAGCAAGGAGCCAGCATGTGTGGGACTTTGAAGGCCGGGGAGAAGTCACAGGTTTATTCTTGGCGACTCTGGTGGGTTTTAAACGGGGCCATTAGGTGATCTGGTTTTCATTTTATAAACATGGCTGAGGGTGCCCTGGGGAGGGTCCGTTGGGTGGAGGATGACGAGGGCTGAGAAGAGGGTGGGAGAGGTGAAGGGGCAGTTCAGGCGTGTGCTGAGAAGGGAGGAAGCGGGACCTGCCAGCGGGCGGAATGAGGCGGAGTCAGGTGTGGCCTGTGCTGTCTCTCTCCCGTGCCCCCCAAACCTCGAAGCATCGAGAACAACCCATGGCTTTTACTGTTAGTGTGGGTTTTTGAGTTCTCGGGTTGCTAGGAAGGGCCCGTTGGAGTGGGAGGGCACCGCCCCGCCAGTTTTGGGCCATCAGCCTTAGAGCAGTCTGGGGCTTTCAGCCCTCACACTCTTTGTGGAAGCCTGTTTGGGGGTCTTTGCTCCTTGATTCCTGTGCCAGGCCTTGGGTTGGCATAGAGTTTCTCTCACTGTGGCTTTAGATGGGATCTGTGGCTTCCAGGCCTGGGCTCCCAGATCCCTTTCCTGTGTGCCTGGTCAGTTAGACTCTCAGCTGCCCAGCTCTGAGGGCTGAGAGGTGAGTTTTTCTAAGGCCTCACTGAACATTGGGGGCCTGCTTAGCCTGCACCCAGCTCATCAGCTGGGACCCATTAGTCTTTCCACAAGGAAAAGTGTGAATCACCCTGTCACACTTGAACCTGGGCTCCTGTCCGTTTTTCTAGGGCGAGACTGAAGCAGATGATCCCAGCCCCGATGCTGTCACAGCCAGGAGATCCCCAAACCACCCCCACCCCTGCCCCCGACAGGGTCAGTGCAGCCTCAGGCACTGCTGCGTAGTCCGGAGCAAGCCAAAGGCCTGGCTGGCACGGGCACAAAGCTGTCACCACCGGCTGCTGGGCCCCATGAGCACTTGCCCGGGCTGACAGTGTATCCCCAGCCATATGGGCTAGCTCAGCCCTCCAGGAAAGCTCAGGAGGCCGGACCTCCAGGGGCAGTGACAGGAAGGGCAGACTGGTGACATCTTGCAGGGGGCGTCAGGGCTGTCCCAAGTGGGAAGCAATCCGTGGCACAGCAGCTCAGCCCTCCAGGAAGCTCTGCAGGCCTGACCTCCAGAGGGAGTGGCAGGAGGGAGCAGCAGCAGGGCAAGCTGGCAGCGCCTGGTAGTGGGGTTCCGGGACGTCCCAGGCCCGCTGCTGGTGCCCCAGCTTGGCTCAGAGCGGATGTCTCTCTCGGGGAGGGCGCGTCTGGGGCGCAGGCATGTGCGTCCATGCACGCACGGGAGGCTTCTCTGCTTTTCAGCCTCCACCGTCTGCACTAGATCCATGACCTTCACTCCTAACTGGACTGGACAGTTCTAACGCCATCCTCCAGGGCTTTGATCTGACGGAAGGCTGGCAGCTCCGGAGTGCGCAGCTGCAGTGGGGGATGCAGGCGGGTGGGATAAGGAGCGGGAGGTGCCGGCTGAAGGGAAGCGGGGACTCGTGGCCTCTGCACAGTGGTGGTATGATGGGCCGGGCTGGTGCTCGGCTGGGAGGTGGTTTGGGGAGACAGCTGGTTCCACGCTAGGTAGGGGCTCTGTCTGATGGCACAGGTGTCCCGCCCTCTGGCATCTCCCCCAGTTCTCCCTCTTGGGGTCGAGGAGCCCCCGATCCCCACCAAGCAGAGGTCTAAGGGAAGACGGATAGAAGGGCCAGCAGCACCCGCCCTGACTGGCGTCACCAGGTGGTTCTTATCTGGGGCTGCGGGGGTTGATGGTTTAAGACTAGGAGAGAAGCCAGTCTGTCCTGCCTCGGTCCCCGCCTCGGTCCCCGCGGGCTCCCAGCGTCACCTGGAGAGATGTCAGGTTTTGCACATGAGCATCTCAGCAGCTGTAGGTGGTCCAGTCCTTCCTGTGTGGACCTTCAGGCCCCTCCTGCTTTGTCCTCTGCCGGGTTCTCCTTGGGCAGGTTTTCTCCAGGCTTGGTTCCTTGGCCTCCCTGGGGAGCAGAAGCCTTTTCTGGCAGCCTGGGGCAGGAGCCCCTGTGGCCAAGTTGAGGGGGGCGGGCAGAGGAGAGGTGGTGTAATTACACACGAGTTTTTCCTCCAGAAATGCTAATTGGGAAAAGCAATTAAAAGCAACTCTTTTCCCTTAGTAATCTGTGTTAAGAGCTGGTAACGAAGTTTAGGGCCGTTGTGACTCAATATTTCAGCTTCACCGGCTCAAGTCAAAACAATCCAAGCCCAAGAGTTTGCCAGCAGCTGAGCTGGGCCCAGGCAGCAGCTGTGAGTCCCGAAGTTCCCTCTCGGTCACCGTCACCACTGTCCTATGTCCTGTGCAGCCCCCCAGGCAGGGAGAGGAGCTGTCTCAGCTGGGACGGGAGGTCTGAGTGACATGGAGGTGGGTCCCCTAAGGTGTCGCTCAGAAGACAAGAACAGGAAACGCATTTGAGCAGGAGGAGGGGAATGGATAGCACCTAGTATAGGAGGTAGAACTGGGGAAGGTTGGGGTCAGACAGGAGGGGGGAGAGGAAGCGGGTGCTCGCAGAATCCATGGGGTGGACCAGAGCTCAGCTGCATGGGCTCAGAACCAGAAGAGGTGGTGGTCCAGCCCGGACCCCCGACCTACCCTCATTCATCAGTCAGCACTGAGCAACACTGCGTGCCTGCGCCTCTGGCTTTGGGGACTGGAAATTGGACAGTGAACCCAAGAGGCAGGAACTCCTGCCTTTGAGAATTTACACTGGGCACAGGGAAGCAAATGATAAATAAGA